TAAGGTAGTGAGATGGTGTGGAAGAAAATTAGTTTAAAGTTTATGAAGATGCAAAGTGTAACCAAGGCCGAGGATCTCTCAATGTACTCTATAGATTAAGTTTCTGGAAAAGAACTTTTTTGGCTATTATTTTGAAATCCCCTAAGACACAATAAAAGTTGCCATGTGATAACTGTTTGTGACACCAAGTCCCTTCTTTCCTGTTTGTGTTCCAGGAAGAAATAGGATATAACTAATGTATCTGCCACATATCATGAAGTGCCTGAGCCTTCCTAATCTTGGAAGCTAAGCAGGATCAAGCCTGGCTGGAAACTGGATGGGAGACTTGTGTCCTGCATTGAGCAGGAGGTTGGACCTGATGGCCTGCTAGGCCCCTTCCAACTGTATGATTCTATGATTGATTTCATAAAAAGCTGTGTTTGCAACAGAATGGGGAATTGCTTCTTGCTAATGACACTGGCATTCTGTGAAGCTGATAAACTGGTCACAGACCACTCCCTACAATACTGCAGCATTAACAACAATCTGTTTGGATTTTTCTCTTAATTGTTATGGAGTTTCTTTAAATGTAAAGTTTTTCTTCCATAGTTTTGTTGGTAGAGGTGGGATCGCCATATGCTGCAGCAAGCCTTGGCTTGGTTGCTGTCCAGGTGCCAAACAAAAGAGGAGGAAGTCCCACTTAAAATCCCCAAAAGTAGTCTTTGCTGAGGGATTGCTTTGGGGCTGAGGGACTGCCAGCAGCTGGCAAGATCAGAATGCTGAGAAGGCAATCCAGCAGACCAGGGTAAGTAAGTGCTTGCATATAAAGGGATCCTATTGAGGGTGGGTCCATTAATAGAACAACACTGACGGTGGGTCCTGGGTATCCTCATCAGGGAAAGGCCCACACTGCTGGTGGGTCCACCAGGAGGAAGCAGGACACCTGCATGCAAGAGAGGCACTGTGTTTGGGGGTGGGCCCGTTAATAAGAAAGAAAAAGAAAGAAAGAAAGAAAGAAAGAAAGAAAGAAAGAAAGAAAGAAAGAAAGAAAGAAAGAAAGAAAGAGAACAGATGAACATGTTTTCATTGCTTCTTTTCTAATTCCTTCCTAAATGGGAGCCAACCCAACCCAAAGCACACATGAAGAGAAGCATGAGGATGATCAAGCACACATAATTAAGATCAACAATAGCTTTGCACTGCTAGTAGTGAGGATACAGAGTGAGCCGCTCCACCCTGAGGAACCAGAGGCAGGGGACGCTGCGCCGCACCAGGCCGCTCTTTGTGCACCTGGCCCACTGCAGTCTTGCAGCAGCCGTCTGGGAGCTCAGGCAGGGGCCTTCCCTATCACTGCTGCTAGAGACCCCTCGGACTCCATGTGCTACATGCAAAAGATCCTCGCCCTTTCAAAGGGCTGCACAAGGCACAGGGTTCTTTGTATTTTCCGCCAACACTTTCCCCATAAGTTTCCGACACACACACACAGCGAGGCTAAGTAACTAAATATCGAAACAGCGATACATTTTCATTTTAAACAAAAAGCAAACAAAAGTGTGGGTAGGATGGAGCCTTGGGGCACCCCAACAGTTGGTGGCAATGGGAGAAAACAGAACCCTTCCCTCCAGGTTTGACTGGAATTACTGTAACACCTTCTCTGGTCCCTACCTGGAAAGACAGTCCAGAAGGATAATGTGGCTGATGGTACCAAAGCTGCTGAGAGGTCCAGGAGAACCAACAGGATGACTCTCCCCATCCATTTCCCTAGTAAGTAATCCTCCAAGGTGACCAAGGCAGTTTCTGAGCCAAAGCCCAGGTTAAAGACAGATTGGAATGGATCTGAATAATTGTTATCCTCTGAGACTGCTGGAGTTGATAAGTCACAACCTGCTCTAGGGCCTAGAAGCTTATACGGGTGTCTGGGTAAAGGAACAGCACCTTTGGGCCATCAGCTAGTACAGGACGCCTGATGGGGTAAAGACTGGGAACGCTATGGGGTGCAGTGAGGGTTCCTATCTCACTGCTTCCTTGTCAGCATGGTAGAAGAGCTAAGTTGGGCGAGCAGAAGGCTATTCGACACTAGACAGGCAGGTTAGGAAAGGCAAAAAAATGCAGGCACTGAGCAGTCAGAGATGCAAGCAAGCAAGGCCAACTAAGAAAGCAGGTGCAGACCGTCAGGTAGCTTCTGATGGTCTGCTTCTGACTGCTCTTTGCTTGACTCAATTTGAAGAACCAGGGCAAGCTCTGACACTCTATAGGACCAGGTAAAACCCTGTTGTCCTTTGGGTCACATTGGCTGATGAGTTCCAATTGCTCTTTCCACTAACCTATATTGGTGTTGTTAAAGTGCAATGGTGGGTTGGATTGTATGCAAAATTATTTTCAGTTTGTGTTTGATGAGAATTTACCCAGTTTGTACCTTGCAGACCAAACATGGACTCAGACTGAATCAGTGGTCAAGTTCTGTACATTTCTGTGCATGCAGTGTGGCTTGCAGAGGAAAAAATGTGTTTAACTACCTATAACTACATATAAACATGCATATAACTGAAAAATCTGCATGAAGATATGCTTCATGGACACAAATATTCTTTGTTCAATGGGAGACAAATGTGTACTTTTCATTCATTTTGTTTAATGTAGCCACAGACTAGCAAGGAAGGAAGGAAGGAGGGAAGGGAGGAAGGAAGGAAAATAAATAAATACACACACACACGCACAGTTAAAACTAAAATGGTTTAGAGAGGATCTTCACTCGGGAAGATGACAACAGTTTTTTTCCCAATTTGCATTGCAGCCATTAAAAATCTTGGCAACCTTTCCAGTAATGTAAGAAGATACATCCCTGAAACAAATTGATACCAAAGTGGAAGGATTATTACCATAAAGGTCTATTATTAATGGTATAATTAATTTCTCTCTGCATTCCCTATAAAAGCTGCAACATGTCCCACTGATTCCCTGCTGATTCTACTGTTCCGTCACCACAAAAACACACTCATAGTGTACTTTTCAAAGGTCTGCACAACTAATGCATACATCTGGGAACATGCATGTGCAAATGTGCACAGATATTCATGCCCTACCCCCAAATGTTTGAAACTTGATATAGCCCAGAATTAGACTGAAGTTTGAGATGGAAGGAAGAGAATTTTGGCAAGCTTGAGTTCTGCTGATCTGTACCTTACCAGCAGCAGCCCAACACTCTTCTGGCAACTTGCTGCGGTGGCATAATCGGTAAAGGCTTCATTTCAGCCTCTGGGTTTGGGGTGCGCTTCGTGACGATGATGCACTGTGACACTTTAAAGCAACCATGTGGACACAACATAGGGTAAGAGCCTTTGTAGACCGGCCCTTGAGAGCAGGGCTATGAAACGCAAATGTCATTATCCATGATTGCATCATTAGCCGTTCAGAAAACAGATGAAGAACCTGCCCCCCTCCCCAGATGTTGGTGGACTGAACTCCCATCCTCACTGGCCACTGGCTGTGCTAGCTGGTGACTGAGATGGGAATTTCGGTCAAACAACACCTGGTGGGCCTGTGCAATGCCTTCTGATTGAGAGAGCAAGCAGCCCACCATGTGAGATATTCATATAGGGTTAGGGTTAGGGTCCCGGTCCCATATTCATGGGGTTCCAACCTGCTCTTGGAACCCTGGCTAAAGTTAAAATTGGCCAGTAGGTGAGGCATGGAGCAGAGAAACAGTGGGTGAAAAAAGAGTTAAATGACCCTTCCTCCACTCCTTGCCTAAATTCCCCCTCCCAAAGCAGCTTGTCAAAATACTCATTTACGGGTTACTTATAATTAGCCCCTTAGACTGCGGCACGATTGGCAGAGGATGCAGTGCTCCTTCTTGCTCAGGCCCGTCACGAAATTCCTCTGAAGTGTCTGGACTGACCTGTTGCAGGCTGAGGGGACCATTTGTCTGACCCAGTGAAGTGTGAGTAAAAGCGGATTTTGATTGGGCTGGTGAGCTAATGACCACTTAGCTTTGGGGGCTTTCAAATCTCCCTAGAATTTCTGCCTGCAGTTTTCTGATTCTCTTGGCCTTTCTTCCTGGCAACCTCTTGCTTGCCTAATTTTGTAAAAGCGGGCAGAAAGGGAGAAGAGCTGTCAGCATCAAAAAGAACTCTGATTGGAGCAGGAGAGCAGGCAGAAGGGCTCCTGCCTCTCTGTAAGTTGTCAAAGGCAGTGAGATTAGCAAGGAGCATTTCCCCTCCTAACTCCCGGGTGGCTATTTTCTGCGGCTGCCCATCGATCCGTTCACCTTCCGCCACTCTCGAGTGAAGCCCCTGGGTGCTCTACCATGCAGAGAGAAGCTGCTCTTTCGCTCGGTGCAATTACAGTGTCCGAGGGCTGCACGGGATGCCGGTGCTGCTCATTTGACCGCGTTTCTCACCTTTTACTCAGAAGTTCATCGGTTCGATCTCTCACCCTGTCTTTGGCTCTCTCCCCGTGTTTCCCTGACGCTAAGGGGCAAAGAGGCATGGTGGTGTCTGGTGATGGGGGGCATCCTGCTCAGCCATCTTAAAAGTGGGTGGGTGGAGTCCAAGCTTCTTAATGGTTTCCATGGTTTGGGGGGCTCAGCAATTATTAACCTTTTACACGTGCTAATTGGCTTACCTCTTGCTGGGGTGCCTTTGCCACCGGCTGCAGCGGTTCCATGCATTACCACTGTTCATAATGTGACATCTGCCATCTGCATTTAATTTCCTTCTGACCTCATAATTTACGGTCCCCACCTCTGACCCCACAATATACACTGTATAAAACATAAAGCTCCCTATATTACTCCACGCTTCAGACAAAGTGGTCTGCAGTTCACAAAAGTTGAAGCTGGAATCAATATCCTCAGGGTTAAAACAGGCTTCCCCAACCTCGTGAACTCCAGATGTGTTGGACTACAACTCCCATCATCCTCTAGCTAGCACCTGATTGGAAATGCTTTTTGCTGCTCTAGGCTAACACAACTGCCCTCCGGGAATTTATTTATTTTATTTTATGTTTATGTATCTGTCTAGGTAACGTGAAGGAAGAAAAGGGCAGGATCTGCACATGCCATATGTGCAAAGACTCTTCCCGCTGGATGGTCCAGACCAGACAAGTTTGTTCCCTTCCTTGCCCAGGGGTCTTCTCTTCCCTGAGAGCATTTCTCTTGAAACCCATGCTTTATTTACTGGTAAGGTAAAGGTAAAGGTTTCCCCTTGATGTGAAGTCCAGTCATGCCTGACTCTTGGGGGTGGTGCTCATCTCCGTTTCCTAGCCGAGGGAGCCAGCGTTTGTCCGCAGACAGTCTCCGTGCTCATGGGGCCGGCATGGCTAAACACCGAAGTGCACGGAGCACTGTTACCTGCCCACCGAAGTGGTACCTTTTTATCTACTTGCACTTGCATGCTTTCGAACTGCAAGGCTGGCAGGAGCTGGGACAGAGCAACGGGAACTCACCCCGTTGTGCTGATTTGAACCGGCGACCTTTCGATCAACCAGCCCAGCAGCACAGCGGTTTAAACCACTGCGCCACTGCATCCCTATTACTGGTAGGAAACAGCATACTTGTGGGGGGGGGGGATTAATCAGCATCTATTTAACATTTATACTGGCTGGTTCTAGAAATTAGAAAGGAAATTAATAAAAACTCCATCTCCCATCAGCATTCCCTGTTGGGATTCCTCCCCTTTTCTGCCATATGGGTTGCAAAGGCATACAGAGGTTCCAAGGTTTGCGTGGATGCAAGATTTGGCTTGGGGAAGCCTGTTGACAGTCTGGACTCTGGAGTTAGCCTTTTAAAACTTGAGTGGGGGCTCTCTGATACACTGACAATATCTGGGCAGATTAAGGATCACATCCAACATTTCCTTTAGAAGTGTTAGATTTTGCTTCCCTCATTTGTATGCATATTGAGTATTACCTTAATAAATGACTTGTTTGCCATTTGAATCTCTCCTGGCTACAGTATGAAGAGCCAGTCACACAAGAGGTCAGTTCAGTGAATAGCAAAATCAAGGAAGCAAAGTTGCAAGCGATTAGGAGCTAAGGCAGGGCGTTGTTCCAGCAACCAGCCGGCTTGACTGAGAGCTAATAAACCAGAGCTTCACAGCCTCACTCAAGTGCAGGATGTCAGAAGGCTCTGCTCAAAGTCTGCTCATGAGCACAGCCTTGCTCAAAGGAGGCCTCTCTACTCTTGAGGCAGCTTCTTCCAGAAGCGGGCAGCCCTTTGCCCATCCACCATCCTGGCCTGCCTCCCAAGGCACAGGCATTCTCTGGGGCGAGGGGTGGGGCTGTGTCCCTCCCTGCTTCAGAAGCAGAGCTCTCTGCTGCTTGAGGAGGCATCTCTAAAGGCATCACCCCCGAGAGCCCAGGACCATCTCAGGAGGTGCCAGTGGCCTATTTCCTGGAGACCTTTGGCTCTGAAGGTTCAAGCTCTTCCTCTGAAGAGAAAAGCCATGGCACCTACCTCCTTCTGGAATTAGAATTGCAGCCCAGATTGTGAGAGGAGTAACTGAGGCTCCTTGGATCAATGTTTAGCTCAGAAAAGGGGTGAGTAAGGAGAGGTATGAGAATCAGTAAAAGAAGACATTTACCACACACAAGCCTACAATTTAAAAGATGCAGCAAGTAAGGAAAGAACAGGGAAGGAAGAGGGGCAGAAAATCCCTCAGCAGGGCTGCTGGGAAGGCCCTGGTCCTCCGTCTCATCTCCCTCATTGCAATTCATGTGCCCGTGTGCACGGATTGCCATGACAGCATCCACCCCTCAAGTCCTCTGCCTGACTGGGAACCTTGTCTCCTCAGGAGTCCCAAATTCATGCAGAAGAGGCTCCTCCCTGAGTACCATTATGTGTTTATGGAGGTCTTTCCAGACAGTACTTTGGTGAAGAGGCAAAGGCTGGTGTCGCCCTCGACTACGACCAACCCTATCATGAGCAGAGTGAGGCAGTCGCCAAGTCAGCAGATGCCTGGTGAGGGCAGTACTGTGAGGTCGGTTTTCATACCTGGAATAGAAGGGCGCCACTTTGCCCTCTACCTCAAATGCATTCACTGGTTCACTGCACATGCATTAAAATCTCGGGAAAGGGCTCATCCAGTGCATCGCCATGGGCATTTGCTGCCTTACCCTGGTCTGGTCTGCTACCTGGCAGCACTTGCCACAAGAAGCAGTCACTGGGAGCCGCTCTCCACAGATGGGCCTGCTTGTCCCACAGTGCCCAGCCGGGGCCAAAGGCCCGCTGAGCTCCCTTGGCTTTAGAAATGACTGCATGGAGGGGGACTGTGCTGTGCATTCCAGCTTTCGGAGTCCTTCAGGATGAATCATGGCTATTTTAAGCAGAGTGGCAGACAGCAAAAACGATTTATGCAGTAATAGAGGCGGGGAATTGCTCAGACTCTGAGGTCTCTGAACAATAATCCATAATTCAGAAATTAATACATGGTAGCAAAGACAATGGGATTTGAAATAAGCATTAGTGGCCAAGGCAAAGAGAAACTCGGCAGGCTTGTCATCTGTGGATGCTCTGGTTATACACACACCCAATTATAACTTTAGCCGTTACAAGGGAAGCTGACTTAAACCATTAAATCTTTATTACTTCCCCCCACCCTCTGGGGTGTGTGTGTGTGTGTGTGTGTGTGTGTGTGTGTGTGTAGGAGGGGAAAGTGGGAGTAAGGCTTCCTTAAAGATAGAGAGTTTAAATTGAGCTTTAAAATTGTGACTGAGCAAGATTTAATGCTGACAATTAGCCTGGACAAACAGTTAATCGTCCTGCAGGCATAATTTATATATTCTCTGTGCAACAGGGAGAGATTGTCAGCACATCGCCCTGCAAATTAGTGCAATAAAAGAATCTCATAACCTCTAACAGCTTAGCTGCCTGGCAAAGGGAAAGCTTTCCACCACTTTCTCTCTTGCTTCCTTGACCACAATGAAATCAGGCCTGGCTGCTGGAGCTCAGGTGTAATGCTTGATTTCCCTGGCTACGTCCTTTCCATTTAACTTCTGCAGTGCCTTCTATTTGCTCTTCCCGGGATGGAGCTGTTTTGTCACTAGCAGGGAGCTCAGCACAGCAGGGACTGATCACACCTCAGGCAGGAGGAACACTGATATTGGAGTGCTCCTGCTGGATCGGCCCAAGAAGCCGCTGCACTTCCTCCATCACCCTGGATGTCCTTGTGGCACTTCTGCTGCGAGAGGGTGCAGAAGGTGCCTGATCTAGACAGGGCTGGAGAAAACATAGGAAGCTGCCCGACCCTGATCCTGATCCCTTACGCAGCACTGTCAACAGTGCCCACCGCCCTGGCTCCAGGGCTTGAGGCAGGCCTCTGAGTCCTACCTGGAGAACAGAGATCAAGCCAGGAACCATCTGCACGTGAAGCGTGGGCTCTGCCACCATGCCCCATCACTTAGGGGCTGGGGCTGTATCTGCATATCAGATTAGCAGTGCAGCCACAGACTTACCCAACTATTTTCCTGGATGGAAGGGAGGGGGAAACCTGTTGTAACAACTCCACGGTTAGCAGTAGGAGAACAGAATATCCATGCATACACACGCAGCTGTGCCACTCTGGTTTGGCTCTCTCTCCCCTCTCATGTGTGTAGAACCATAGCACAGTAGAAAGGGCCATGAAGGCCATTGTGTCCAGTCCGCTGCTGTTGCAGGACACCAATTTACACCATCCCACTCAAATGACTGTCCAGTTCTTTTTGAATGTCTCTAGTGTGGGAGAGCCCACCACTTCTCTAGACAACTGGTTCTGCTGTCATATTGCTCTGACTGTTCCTGATATCTAGCCTGAATCTGGGTTGTCACAACTTGAGTTGATTATTCCGCATCCTACACTCTGGTATGAGTGAGAAGAGATCTTGACCTTCCAGCTTGTGACAGCCTTTGAGGCACTTATAGAGGGATATCCTGTCCCCCACCAGTCTTCTTAAGGCTGAACATGCCCAGTTCTCTCAGTCTCTCCTCATGGGGCACAAACCTTCTGGACTAATCCTCATTTGCCATGATATCTGGATAATCTTTAGAGCACCATTATTGCACCAACTTCACCTTGTGGTTTAGAAATGTGGTATGGAGGCAAGACATGGGACACAGTCTGTTAATTTATACTAGTCATGTTGCATGACTAATATACAGTATTTCATGATCAGATAGTTCTTTCTTTCTTTATTATTATTTTATAGGGATATTTCTAACCAGTTCAATACAAAACCTCTCTGGATGGCTTACAGAGTAATAAATATTCAATAAATACAATAGCAAGATAAAATGCGAGTCAGGATAAATAAAACTGAATTAATTTTTTTACAACTTTAAAATATTGGGTGAATAAAAAGGTTTTAACCTGGTGCTGAAAAGCATATAATGTCAGCACTAGACGAACCTCTCTGGGGAATGCATTCCATAGCCAGGGTGCCACTACAGAGAAAGCCCTCCTCCAAGTATTCTGTCTCCTAACCTCCTTCAAGGAGGGTTCCCGGAGCAGGGCCTCTGCTGCAGATCTTAAGGGGCCGGACGGCATATGGGGAAAAAGACGTTACTTCAGATATCCTGGTCTCAAGCCGTTTAGGGCTTCATAGGTCAATACCAGCACCTTGAATTGGGCCTGGAGTTCAATGGGAAACCAGTGTTGCTGATAGAGGACCAGCATTATATGAGAATAGTGACCAGCCCCTGACAGCAATCTAGTAGCTCTGTTTTGAACCAGTTGAAGTATCTGGGCTGTCTTCAAGGGCAGTCCCATGTAGAGCGTGTTACAATAGTCTAACTGGGAGGTTATCAGAGCATGTGTCACTGTTGCTAGGCAGTGCTCATCCAGATAAGCTTGATTCATGCAGCTGGTGGATCAGGCAAAGCTGAAGGAAATCGCTCCTCGCCACTGCCACCACCGGAGCCTCCAGGGACAGCTCTGGATCGAGGAGCACTCCCCAACTGCAGACCCTGTCCTTCAGAGGGAGAGCAACCCTGTCCGGACTACCTACCAAATGACCTCCATCTTATCTGGATTGAGTTTCAGTTCATTGGCCCTCATCCAGCCCATTCCCTCGGCTAGGCATACGAGCTCCATGGACTCATAACGTTTGCCTTGATCACAAAGACATTATTAGGATGCCACCGTTCTTCTCCAGGGTGGATGTCTCTCTCCACGCTGGAAAACAATTCAACAACGTCCCTTCCCCCTGGCCCCCATTGCTGATCTACTTCCTTTCTCTCTCATCAGCACCTAGCATGTTCAACCTGGTAGGGTGGCCCTGTGTCACACTTTATGGAGGACAGTCCTCCATTTTAAAGAGTCTTCTATTTGGAGGCCTGTCTAATCCATATCCGGTTTAGAGATAAATAACCATACAGTGGGTGTGGGGAGTAGAAGGGCCTTGGCGTTGTCCTTCCACAGCTTCTGGGCAGCAGACCAGGAAAGGAAGAGTTTGCTATTTGGCAAGGCGAGATATATCTTTATTAAGCTGCAGTAGTGTTTCTGATTGTTTTGCAAATCTCAGCCATCTTTTTCTGCAGGCACCATAGTCAGGTAGGAGGCTGGGCACCTGGCAGGTTCCTGCAAGGGATGCCCCCGTGTGACTCCAGCAGTGGTTGTACAACCTTAGTGGATGCAGCAGCTCCTTTGTCTTTACCAGAACAGCATCTCCACAGTGGAGTCTAAAGCACCGGTCAAGTTCAACCACATTTGGGCCTGTACATAATTTGGCATATGTTTACCTAACTTTTACCTTAGTGAGACCCGTGAATTTGTGCCTAAATTGGTGGTGATACTGCAGTGTTTTAAATTAGTCAGGTGATGTGAGAGGGACAGACTGCACAATATGTGTATCTGCATACAAGCCTGTATGTGAGTGTGATGATTATTATTAATTTTAGAGTCAATTTTGCACACCAGGCCACTGAAGATGACCTTAGGTTGAAATGTGCTAGGTGTTAGTTATGCTGGGAATCATCTCAGAACATTTGTACTCTCTTATATTGCTTATGATTGAATGCCTGCAGCTTGTATAGATAAAATCAGACAATCAGACCTTTTGAAAATTATTTATTCTCAGCAGTTAGTTTATCCCAATGTGTTCATTGCTCTCAGAATTAAATCAAGCTGTTTTCCAAATGTGCATGTGTGGGAAATAGTTTGGTCTCAAAGGCCCCAATATAAGCCTGACCTGGAGGGAAGTGAACCCATTGCAGAGGTTATGGCAAACCATGGTAGTGGTCCCCAACATAGCACCCACATATACCGTCTAATCTGATTTTTTTTAAGTCTCCCATCTTTTTGAATACAGAGATTTGTATATATCAATGAATATATATGAAAATGCAAGTTTCTAGCAATTATATGTAGACTTGCCTGTTCTATCAGTCCCTTCCCTTGCTATTTTTTGCCTTCTCCCATTCCTATCTTTCCTCTTTCTCTCCCTTTGTTTTGCTCTTCTTTTTCTCCCACTTGGTCCTTTAGCTTGGTGTTTCTTTCAACTCCAGTCCTGGCCACTGCCCTTGCTGTTTTACTCCCATACCTCTTTAGCTCACTGTTTCTCCTAGCTTCCAATCCAGCCTCTCATCTCCTCATCCCTCTGTGACTTTGGCTCGATATCCCCTGCCCCACAGCCTCTGCTCTCACTATTTCCTTTCCCCCACTTTTGCCTAGCCAGGTTCCCATGGAAGCCATTATGTGACTAGCCACATTCTCCATGGGCGCCATTTTGCAATGGGACCCACAGCAGTTTCTCAAATGGTCCCATAGGGCCAAAGTGGTAGGGACCCCTGAACAGTGGTTTGTGAAACATAGAAAGTGAAGCAGTGAGTGTGTGATACAACAGGGATATTTTGGGGGTTTTATCCAGTCAGCCATATTCAGTGTTAATTTCTGTTAAGTTCTGTAGATTTCAGTGGTTCTTCTAACTAGGCAGAACTAACAGAGCATATCCCTCTGTTACAAAAATCTAGTTTGACTTTACAATTAAATATAGTTTCCATGCTTTACACAGCAGACAGGGGAGGTTACTAAAATCCTAAAAGTGTCAGCTCCAGTTGATGTGTGCACACAGCTACAAAACTGAAAAATGCCAATATCATTTTATAGTTTCATCTAATCTCTCTTTGAAAAGTACTGAATTGTTTGCCACAGCTATTCCCTGGTAGCAGGGAGTTCCATAGTTCAGCTTTGCTCAGGATAAATGCAGGCATTGGCAACTGTCGTTCCCCTTGACCACTTGTCTTTCGAGAGGAACCAAAAGCAAGAGACAGCCTCTTTGGGTCCATGTCCAATCTCAGCATTGACCCAGCTGAGACAGCCAACTGGCACAGTTCCAGATCTGTGCCCCTCCACAGTTGCTCAGCTGTGGCCAAAATAAAATAAATGGAATGGAATAAAAATGAAAAGTGGTTTCTCAGCCACTGACAGCCCTGCCAATGTGCTGTTTGAGCACTCTGAAAGGTCTGGCAATGGCAGTCAAAACGAGAGAGTGAAAGCTGTTGTCAAGCAGGCCTTTGTGATCTCAAAAAATAAAAAGTTGAAGTGGCAAAATTGCCACGCTGAGCCACAACTGGATTGGGGTCACAGTGGGGAGGTGAAGACAAGTTGGTCTTGTTGTGGGGAAAAGGAAGATGGGGAAGGGACAAACAGCACACACTGTGCCTGGTGAGGACAACCCACCAGGGTGGCTTGTCATGGGGTACAAATGTGCCCACTATACACACAACAAATGCTGTTATGATATGCAGCACACATTTTGTAGAAGAAGATCTGGATGGATCCAGGACTGTGTTGCACTGATTTGGAAAATATCTGAATCTGAGTCACTGGATCTGAATTTGGACCCTTTTGAAGCTTTGTTGCAATCTGGAAATTTAGAGGGACAGAGACGCAGAGGATGGTTTTCCGAAAATGGACACAGTTTTCTCCACAATCTGCATTTAAGGAAAATGCCAGAATGCAAAGGTGAGGAAGGCATGGGAGGGAATTTAGTTTTGTGATGGGCAATTCTAGCTTCTAATCACAGTGAATGGCTTTATCAGGGCTCCGCAAGTCCTAGTACTTAGCAGGAGGGATGCTGAAGTAATATATCACAGGAGTGACCCCATGTTCACTCTCATTTTCTACTTCTCTCTCCCAGGAGCAGGACTTTAAGAGGTTTGGCAGAGCCTGAGTGACGTGGGACGGTATAGCAGTGGATGCTGGCTCCAGCCCCTCTGCCGCTTTGTGTTCTACCTCTACCCATATTGCGCTTTTTGTGCCTTAAGAAAACCCTTTAAATTGTCATTAGCTCATCATAAGCTCCTTGCTCATGAACCAGTCCTTCAGACATGGATTGTTTCTTATTTAGGGTCACTTCAGTATTGAATGCCAGCTTCATACATATTGTCCATATCTACACAGGAGGTAAGGAGAAGTGATCACTCCACCCTCCCAAAAGTGCAGGCTCCCTTTCCACTGTGCCATCTTGAAATTTTGCAGATTTCTTAGACAAGTTACCTCTGTGAGGTATGTCATTTTCAAGGAATTGTCAAAGCAGCAGCAGCAGCAGCAGCAACACCACAACCAGGGGATGAATGCATTTTTTAAAAACCATGAACTGTAAATGCTGCTCTTGCACAAGCCCTCTCTGCTTACGCATCTGAACCTTGGCCAGTTTCATCCCATGGAAAGGACAACAGTCATCCACTGCTGCCAAAAAATG